CGATTCTGTCAGGAAGGTGAGCATCACAGAAAGCCAGATTGTTAGAACAAAATGTTCTTGTGTTGAGGGAGTCCTTGAGTAGTACAACTCTTCTTTTGATCTCTTGACTGATGCTTCCATGAGTATTGATTGTAGATTCAAGCAAGAAAAAATTCCTTGCCGGCTTCAACCTTTTCTCCATTTATCATGATGCAACCTATTGATCCTGTTGTGAAGATTTTGCTCTTCTTTGAGCTGTAATCTGTACTGAAGGCTGCAATCTTTGATCTTCAACAGTAAGTGCTTCAAGTCTTCCTTGGTCTTCCAAAGTATTGGAAGAATATAATTCTCCCTCATAGGAGGATAGTAGAATGAATTCTGCCACTCAATTGCCCAATTAGTTGTATTTAAGTCTATTTGGAAACAATGTGACCACATAGTCCCTGTAGGACAAAGTAGAACTGCACCAATAGAATTACCTAGGCTTTAATCATTACAGAAGTACATTCCCAAGCCTTTTCTCCTAAGAAGGCCTGACAGGATTCAATGGCTGAATTCTCAGGTTCACAGCACGCCTCTTTAACCAAGTACCAGAAGGGCTCATTGCTACTGAGTTATCTCTAACTCACAGTAAAAGGTCAGATGACAGTGGGTGCAGAATCATGTGGAACCAAGGTTGGTGGGAAAATGATAGGGCCAAGAAACTCTCAGGGTGGCCACCAGAGTGCCGACAAGTAGGAAGGTGGAGGGGCAGAGAGAAGAGGAGGTTCCCAAGATCCTCCTTATGAGAAGGCCACATCCACAAGGAAGCATCATCCAGGTGAGTGACAGGTTGCACTCCATCCCTACACTTCCATACATCTTCCGGTCGTCATTAAATGATCTACCTACTGTAGATACTCAACATTGTCTTTTGGGTTTTGTGACCTTGCTTTCATTTTCTTCAGTTTTAGCCTAAAACTCACATATGAGCAATTGATGGTCTGTTCCACAATCATCCCTGGCCTCGTTTTGGCCGATGATATAGAGCTTCTCCATGATCTCTTCTCCAGGTACAGTCAGTTTGATTCCTGTGCACTCCGTCTGCAGTGGTCAAAGTATATAACCAGTGTTCATGTTGTTGAACAAATGTATTTGCATCAAAGAAGTCTTTGGCCTTGCAGAATTCTACCACGCAATCTCTTGCTTCATTTCTATCACCAAGGCTCTACTTTTCAACTACTGTTTCTTCCTGTCTGTTTCCAATTATTAAATCCTAATCATCGGTAGGATCATGGATCAGAAACGAGAGGGCGGCCGGGTCCTAGTGCCCGATAAATGCTCGGCACCCAGGACTGAGGCGGGCCGCGCCTGCAGCCCGAATTAAGAGCGGCCTAGCCGGCGAAGCGGTCCTTGGCTGCTGATGGCCAGACGCATCCTGGGAAAGACTTTAGCTACTGTGTCTGTCTCTGTGGCCTTGGCCTCTGTGGGTGTCTGGTTCTTGGGCAGCCGCAGCATCCCGGCATACAGGAACTCATTTTTATCTAGTTGGTTTCATGTTAATTCCATCACTATGTCAGATTCTAATGATGCCAAAGATAATTCTCACAACAAAGCTCGGACATCTCCTTACCCAGGATCAAAAGTTGAACGAACCAAGGTTCCTAATGAGAAAGTAGGGTGGCTTGTTGAATGGCGTGAATATAACCCTGTGGAGTACACGGCAGTCTCGGTCTTGGCTGGGCCAAGATGGGCAGATCCACAGATCAGTGAAAGGAGCTTTTTTCCCAAGTTTAATGAAAAGGATGGACATGTTGAGAGAAAAAGCCAGAATGGCCTGTATGAAATTGAAAATGGACGACCTCGAAATCCTGCAGGACGGACAGGACTAGTTGGTCGAGGTCTTTTGGGGAGATGGGGCCCAAATCATGCTGCAGATCCTATCATAACCAGGTGGAAAAAGGATAGTAGTGGAAATAAAATGATCCATCCTATTTCTGGAAGACACATACTACAGTTTGTTGCAATAAAAAGGAAGGACTGTGGTGAATGGGCAATCCCTGGGGGCATGGTGGACCCAGGAGAGAAAATTAGTGCCACGCTGAAAAGAGAGTTTGGTGAGGAAGCTCTCAATTCCTTACAGAAATCCAATGCTGAAAAGAGAGAAATAGAGGAACAATTGCACAAATTCTTCAGCCAAGAACATCTAGTGATATATAGGGGATATGTTGATGATCCTCGAAACACTGATAATGCATGGATGGAGACAGAAGCAGTAAACTATCATGATGAAACAGGTGAGGTGATGGATAATATAACTCTAGAAGCTGGAGATGATGCTGGAAAAGTGAAATGGGTGGACATCAGTGATAAACTCAAGCTCTATGCCAGTCACTTACAATTCATCAAACTTGTGGCAGAGAAACGGGAAGCACACTGGAGCGAGGACACCGGCCCTGGCTGCCCTAGATTATAGCTTGATGTCTCCACATACGCTAAAGGCCACTAAAGGAGCAAGTACTGGCAAGGACACCACAGAACTCATTCTAGAAGAAGGTCAGAGGAGATCACCTGGGAATTATTTTATTTCTTTTCAAAACAATTTGCATTTGGAAGGTTTTTCGCCACAATAATAGTAAATATGTTTTGACATAGAACCCAGACTTTCAGCTTTCCATTCACAAGAAGAGTACAAATAGTCATGTATTTTATATATTCTACATAAGCATGACTTAAACCAAATAAAATAACTAATGTTCTTTGGAGAACTGTAATCAGAATAAAGAGAAATTTCTGATCATCCAAGGTTTCTGTACTTTCCTCTAGTTCTTGTCAGTTCTTTTTCCTCCACTGATCTTTTGGGATCTGAAGGTTATTTTTGCCCCGTCAAGTACTTTCGAAGGAGCAGCATCATTGGATATGTCGTATAATGTATACTTGAATTGACCTTCATGTTTGCTTTCCATTTTACATGATATGATCTTGTTGAAGCGCCTTTCAAGTGCCTGTGTATTCATAATTGTAGGCTTCTCAGTTTAATGAAGACATTTCAGCACTGTTTTCAGTCAATAAAGATCAAGATTGGTGGAAAAAAAAATGCATCTTGAGTTCATGAAAAATTAATTTTAAATGGAAGAAGTTGGCAAAATTCTTTAATTTCTTCATCATTGGCTATTGTAGTTGGTACATAAATTTGAATAAAAGTTTATTAACCTCCTTGTACATTTACTGATATCTGATCACAGACATCATTGAACTTCAAGACGGATTTTGAAAAGAATAATTTTTTAATGATGATGAATGTGCCACCATTCCTCTTGAGTTTGACACCCCCAACATAGTAAACCATATGATTATCAAAGTCACAATGGCCAATATGAGGCTATTTCAGCTAGGATATTGATTTTTATGCATTTAAATTTCTGATAACTTCACATTTTTCTCGATTCCTACTTTGTACACTCCGTGTTCTGATTACTAATGGAGTTTTGCAGCGGTTTATTCTCATTTTGAGTCACAACCCATCTGCAGGTGAAGGTCCTTGCTCAGCTATGTCATGAAGACAGACTCCTTTGAGGAGGCAGCCCTCCCCCAGTCATATCGTGAGTGCTTTCCAGCCGGAAGAGTTCATCTTCCAGCACTGTATCAGACAATTTTCTGCTATTACCTATATGTTTTTTACAGCGTCTAATCCCTCAGAAAAGGACATCCTATTCTTTCTTTCTAGTCTATCCAAATCTGGAAACTCCTGTGAGCCCTGCTCACCATGGGCAATCCTACTGACATTTGAACTATAGATAGCATAGCTTCCAGCATCATAGCAACACCAAGGTGACAAATAAGTGGAGAAAGTTCATTACAATATCAATGTAGTATAAAGTTGACAGTAGTCAATTAAGACGACTTGTAGATACTAATCTAGAAATATATTCATGATCTCTTTTGGCATTTTAAAAATCAGATGTATAATGACAGCCTGTTTAGTAGAATGTAAATTTTAATTATATATATATAATATGCACACATATATATTAAGCTCTGGAAGAACACCTACCAAGTTACTATCAGTGGTTATTGTACTTTCTATTACTTGAATTCTTTAAGTAAGCCTCTTGTATGACTTTTGTAACTTTTTAAAACCAATAAAAATAAATAAGAGGAAATAAAAACCCAAACCGGAGCATTCCTTGCTTGCTGAAGAAGGCAAACACTGATACTCTACTTCAGCTAACAGAAGAACACCGAAAACAAGACACAGATGTCCTCTCTTCAAACTTAGGGAAGGAGACAAAAATGGAACAATTTTAGAAAAACCTTTAACCAAAAGTAATCTTTTAGAATTTAATCTACATATAAGTTTTAGATTGTTTGTTTTTCTTCCTTTCTTATCATTTCATAAATGGAAAGGAGAATCAGAAATAACTTCTCACTAGTTATTTTATCACTATGAACAAAAAACTTATCTGATACCCTGAGCACTTTACCAAAGAGAAAGTGTCCAAACAGAAAGAACAAACACAAATGCAAAGTATTTCTCAAACAGACCAAGATTATATGTGATTAAAATGAGGAAGCTTTTAGATTGAACAATGTAAAGCTCTTATTTTTATGAGCCAAGGGATTGGAAATCAATATTTTTTTATGCTTCAACTGAACATAAAAGTGTTTCTACAATGTACAAGTCACTGGGTAAATAAAGAAAAACAAAACAGAACCTGAATCTTTTTATATTCTCCCCACTTTCTAACACCCTGTAACAAGTTATGGTAGGAGCCTGAAATTGAAGCAGGAAAAAATATTTTCCATTAATAAATGATAAGTATGACAATTAATATTTCCAAGGATTATTCAGGTTCCCTTTGTGCCTAATTAGTATTTCAAAGGGAAAAGGAGAAGTATAAAGCAACCCAAACATAACAAACAAACAAACGCCCAAACATTATCCTTCATGAAATACATGGTATTCAAACAATGATGAGGCAAAATTCAGACAGTTTTCCCACTGACAGCTAAACTTTGACATAATCTCTATACAAAAGACAAGCATCAAAATTCTATTTCAAATCTAAGATGATATTTTAAAAATAAAGGAAAACAAAGACCCATGTCGCTATAGGCGATCTCATTAAAGTTTAATAAATTGACCATAGATGAATAGTTCATAGTGGAAAAGTTATATCAGAAAATTAAAAATTAGAAACAGGAAAACAATATTCTTATATCCTTTCCCTCAGGAAGAAAACACAGAAGACATGGATGCTATAGCAAAATGTGGCAAAGCATGTAGATGGTGCCCGGCTAGCAGATAAAATGGCATCTGGGGTCTTAAAGGTTTGTCTCCAAACAAGCAGCCATCTAAGTCCACGTGGAAGAAGCACACCATCATCAGTCACCGAAGGATGATAAACCATATAATCCGAAGCTGAAGGAGGGAATAGTATCAGTCTAATTTGTGAGAACCCGGTGTACAGAAGGCTACAATTGACAGTGGGAGCCCAAGATTCTTTGTGGAAGTACATAGAAAAATAGCCTCCAGAGCACTCCCTTTATCTACAATTGAGGGATGGGAGGAAAGTTGTTACTAAACAGAGAGCTGTGGAGAGATGAGTATACAAGATCAAAGGCAAAAATATGTCTTGAAACTTTAAAGACATTTAAAGACATAAACTTTAAACAGTTAAAACTTTGTCAGTAGAGTCTCCCTACAATGAATGCAGCACCTTATCTGGTTCCCACATTTTTCTGTATCTCGGATTGTGTTGTTTTGTTTGCTCACATTAGGATGTATCTCAGAGGTGTCATGTCACTGGAGATCACCCTCCTGAAGTAGAGTTATATGTTTCTCCATTTTTCTATATATGAAATCCAGAATTGATGGACCTGTAGAGACAGCAAGTAGAATAAGGGTTTGCGGGGAGGGAGGTACAGTTGTAGAAGGTAGTGAAGGGGGGCAATGTCAAGGAGTCCATGTAGAAAAAGAATGTTTGGAAACTGATTGTGGCAGCAATTGTACAATTCTGCTTGATGCAATTGAATTTTGGAATGATATGATATATATTAATATATATTTTAAAATTAAAAATATATATTTAATAAATTGGGATCCTAAATTTATCCCTCAAAGTATACAATTTTACCTAAAAATATGAGCATAACATCATCTTCCTTTATCAAATGCATATTCTCGATTCTTTTAGGCTATGACAAACTACTATTTTTTGAAGTTCTAAGAAACCAAGGATCGTCTTGAAAAGAATGCGAATTCCAGAATACTTGATTGTACTTATGCAGAACATATACATGGATCAAGATGCAGTTGTGCAAACAGATTAAGGGAACTCTACATGGCTTAAAATCAGGAAAGGCGTGCATTAGGCTTGTACCCTCACACCATATTTGTTCAATCTGTATGCTGAGCAATCATCAGAGAAGGGGGATTATATGAAGAAGAATGCATGATCAGGTTTGGAGAAAAGCTCATTAACAACTGCGATACGCAGATGACACACGCTTGCTTGGTGAAAGTGAGGAGGACTTGAAGTGCTTGCTGATGAAGATCAAGGGTTGCAGTCCTCAGTATGGATTACAACGCAATGTAAAGAAGACCAGGATTCTCACAACTGGACCAATAGGCAACATCATGATAATTGGAAAAAAGACTGAAGTTGTCAAGGATTTTGTCTTGCTTGGATCCACAATCAATGCTCACGGACGCAGCTGTCAGGAGATCAAATGACACACTGCACAAGATCTCTTGTAAGTGTTGAAAAGCAAGGATGTTCCTTTGTAGATTAAGGTGGACCTGACCCAAGGCATGGTATTTTCAATTGCCTCATGTGTATGAGAAAGTTGGGCATCGATGCATTTGAACTATGGCGCTGGTGAAGAACACTGAAAGTACCATGGGCTGCCAGCAAAGGAACCAGCAGATCTGTCTTGGGAGCAGTACAGCCAAATGTTCCTTAGAGGCAAAGATGGTGAACCCTCATCTCATGTGCTCTGGACATGTTATCAGGAGGGGTTAATCCTTGAGCAGGACACCATGCTTGGTAAAGTGGAGGGGCGGTGACAAAAGAGGAAGGCCCTCAATGAGACGGATTGACACCGTCACAGCAAGAATGGGCTCAAACGTAAGAGCAATTGTGAGCTGGCACAGGACCAGCTGGTATTTTGTTTTGTTGTACATGGGGTCGCTGTGAGTCAGAACTGACCTGATGGCACCTAATAACAGCAACAACAACAACAGACTCCCAGCTTTTACCATGAGCATCTCTGTGCTTAGTTTTTATCACCTATCTATCCATCTCTCAAGAAAACGGACATCATTTTTATACAGAACATCATCTTTATATCAAATGTACATGCAGGATGCTTTTGGAGACATAACAATTTACTACTTTTTGTAGTTCTTTCCAAAGCTGACTCTCCCACTGCAATCAGAAGAAGTCACTTGAATGTAAATTTTTAAGTAGGACCTCAAATTTTAAAGTGAAAGCCATATTATTCATACTCAATAAACAAAGAAAGATGTTATTCTAGAAAAACATAACACATAGAATACTAAATGCTTTCATCTACCAAGACAGTATTTTGGTGTTTGTTTTGGCGACTGTGAAAGGGATTATACTGATCAGCAGTTGTAGACTTCTGATTTAAATTGTATCTGGAGCTCTGAGTTTCCCCATTCAGGTGATATTTGGATTTCCAATTTCTAGATTTTTATGAAGGTTATGCTGTCAAGAATTCTTTAAAAAAATTTTTTTTAGTTCTCTATACGCCTTATGGTGATTTAAGTTTGTT